AATGTGGCATGCCATGCAGAAACATTTGTTGCTGCTTTTGAAAACAGAATTAAAACTGGAAAAAAAAAAACATCATCAGGAGTAACAACAAAAACTTTATTCAGTACAGTCCAGGAAACAAGTCAGTCATCGTTTTCTGGCAAAACATCGTCACTGTTGAAGAAGATGGCCTCACTGGTTTGACTGGAGAGAGTCGCTTGCTCAACAAAAGGTCCTGAAGAGAGAAGAAAGATCCAGATGAAACTTTTGTTGACCTTTTAGATAAAAAAAAAAAAAAAAAAAAAAAAACAACTCCCCATTTAGAACTGTCTTTCAGCCAATTTTACTTCATGTGATTAATTTTATTGACCGCTTCATTGTTTTGTTACCTGCTTCACCTTTTTATTTTATTCTTATTGTAGTCTACCGACGAGAACCTGCTGTAAAAAATAATTTTAACATTTGGCTCCACTCCTGTCCACAACAAAACCACTGCTCTCTATTTTTTTTTTTTACATTTTGACATCCCAAAAAAGTTTTACTGCATACAAGCCAAAGCCTATTTCTAGACCAGGGGTCAGAGAATTGAAGCCAGCAGGGAACGTTTCACGGAACGTACATGTTGGATTTTTGTAACCAGAGTCTGTGCACTCGGATGTGGGGCTTTAAGCTCCGCCTACTCCCCCTCAAGCATTCATGGTGTCACATGAGCTTTCTTTTATAGCATGAAATAATTGTTTACAACTAAACGCACTAGAAAAATGATTGGAACTCACAGCTGTAGAGTAAGCACTTCACACATCATTTTGTTTATTTTTGTGTGTGTGGGGGGGGGGGTACATTCCCACTGAACTCCACAGCATCACTCATTCATTCATGGATGGATGGTGTCAGGTTTTTTTTTTTGTTATATTCTATTTCTTGAGTTTTTCTATTCATCTACATTTTGTGGGTTGTGCTTTTTTTTCCTTTTATAATTCCCATAATCCCCTGGGCTTTTTCACCTCCCCTAAAATTCGTTCTGTTTTTTTAGCATTTATCCGTGAACTTTTCTTGAGTTTCCGCGCGCACAGCAGCCTTTAATTTGCGTCTAAATGACTCCTGACAGACGGTAAAGACAAGTTAACAGGACAGTGTTCCAGTTTTTAACTTCCTGTTCCACTTCTGGCTGCGGTGGTCATTACATTTTGCAGACGGACTGTGTGCACCTCCTGCTGGGGCGTTGCGGTGAAAAGTTTTCTGGTACAAACTCAAAGACCAGCCTCTGCTGACAACACCAAAGAGTTCTGAAAGGCCCGGGTGTATTGGCCCGCATCGCGTTTCGGTGATGAAAGCTGCAGAGCCGTAACGAGGCGCGGAGTGAGGCGTTTCACACAGCAGAGGATGTTTTGTGCTGCCGAGTGTGAACACTTGCAGAATGAAGAGCCTCACTGGGAACATCATCATCATCATCGTCAGGCAGAAAGTGCAAACACTGGACCTCACAGAGCATCTGCTGTGTGTGCAGGCACACCTGCTGCTGCTGTTCTTTGGTCTGAAGCAGAAAGAATCTGTAAAATAACCTAAAACAAGAAGCTTGTTGTGCCTTTTTATCCGTTTGTTTGGTAAATGGGGTAAATTTAACATTATGACTAAAAAAAAATCGTAGAAATGTTGACAAGCAGGTGAAGATCAAAGGATTTGTTAAAAATCTTAAAACGGTAAATATCACTTGTTACTTAAACACCAACGCTTTTGCAGTGTACACGTAAAAGGATAGTGCAGACTTTGTGAAGTGGGGTTCAGTGGAAAGTTAATGAACAATAAATATTTTACCTGCTACAGATGGCTCTTTGAACGACCTCGGTTTGGAGCTAAACCCTGACTGGATCAACAAGCTAACGGCTAATCAGCTTAAGAGTTCAAACGAGGCAACAGGACGTCGTTTCTGCAGTGTACGTTCTGCTTTTTATCAGATTTCATCATAAAATGTCTGTTAAAATAGACGTGGTGTGAAGGTGTTCAAAGAGCTAAAAGAGATGAAACATTTTTTGTTTGTAACCGATTACGAACAAACCTACATTACCTCCACAGACAGCCTGTTTGGAACATTTTGTGTTTTGATCATCTAAAATGTTTTATCGCTACTAAAAATATATTTTCTTTGATATTCTGTGCTGAAAACCTGGAAGTGCAACAACTGTTTATAAAAACATGTTATGCTTCAGTAGGAAGTTGCTGATAATAATGATGTGGTAAACTTGTGTACACACAGAGCCACTGGATTGTTTCACCTGCTGTATTTTATTTTTTTTAACTCTTTACTCCAGCTTGTGCATTTTACTTCATCACCACCTGATACAGGTGATTTGTGAGTTTTTAATATTTATTTTAGAAAGGGTTTTGGTTGACCATTGCTTTTTGGGATTTTATGTCAGCCACACGTCTCGGGGACATATTTTGTTTTTAAACAAAATGAAAATAAAGTTTTTATTAATATTATTATTCAGTTTTCTTTTCTTTAAATTGGTTCTAACGTCCAACAGCTGAGTGACGGTAAAACACTTGGAGGCAGAGGAGAAAGAAGCTGTGAAAGGATTTAAAAAAAAACAAATTTTAACATGAACATTTCACGTTTAGTCAATAAAACAGCAAAGTTTCCAGTCGGGGAGTCGTAAAGGTGCATCTTTCTGTTCCCAAAGTTCATCTTGTTCTTCAAACAAGAAGTTTTCTTTGTAACGTTGGGCTTCATGCGGTAAACTACATTCAATTCAGTTCAGTTTAAAAATATTTTATTAATCCCAAAGGGAAACTAAATGTTGTTGCAACTCATTATCCTCGTTTCATTAAGAGATGTTATAGATGCTGATGGCTGTAGGCAGGAAGGATCTCTTGTAAAGATCTGTCCCACAGTGGATCTGAAGAAAATGGTTGCAGATGCCGTCCGATATGTCCACCCAGACTCGGCTAGCCTCTCGGTTCCCCCGGGCTGCAGGACCACCCGAATGCTGGGCTGAACTCCTCCCAGAGCGATGGCCACTCCTTCCAGCAGCCTGCCGAGCTCCTCGTTGCTGCGGACAGCCGGCCGGGGGACAATCCTGTCCTTGTGCTGCCACGAGCCGTGTTTCCTGCCGGTTCCAGGATCTCAGTTGTCAGGCACTTGAGCACAGCCAGCAGGGAGATGGGAATGCATCCACGGCACCTCGTTTTCTATTCATTTGACATTTGGGGCTATAGTTGAGATATTATGAGCTTTTGAGATGTTAATCAGCTGCTCCTGGTTGTAGAAAACCCCCTTGTTGATATGGTTGTGCATCATAACAAATGTGCAGAACTAAAATCCTTCCAGCTGCACAGCATCCGATACCAGAGGAGAAAAAAATCATCCAAAAAATGTGAATTAAATCCAGAAAAAGAAGAATTAAAGTTTCCAAAAGCAAAACCTCAGAATGAAAGTAACAAAGCTGCTCCAACATGCAGCCACCTCGAGCGGCGCAATTCATGATTGACTTGTATGGTATATTGAATAGTGCATGATTAGTACATCAGAAAACGAAAGAATGCTCATTTAAAAAAAACTGATTTCTTGGGGTTGTAAAGAACCAAAACTCAATAAAAAAAAAATGCAGCAGTGTAAAAGTTTTAGGACTTGAAAATAAAAAAACTAATAAGAAAATGGTTATTCTGCTTTGAGCTAAAGAGACAACAGCTTCGGTAATAAAACCATCCGCAGGAAAGAGATTAGGGTCAACGGGTTTACAGCATCTTCAGTGGCTCTGAATCTGCAGATTACTTCAAAGGGAGAAGACTTAATGACAATTTATTTAACAAACTCTAAACCGATTAGCATTTAGATCATTTAGGTTTTAATTAGGAGCTGTTAGAGGAGGATTACATTCTGAATCCTATTATTGAGGTTAAAGCAGTAAAAATGCAATCAAATGTTACAAACTAAAAAGTTGCAAACTTTAACTCTTATTTGTTGAGAATAAACACCGGCTGCTCCAACTGGGCTCCTACATATGAATAAATAAACGTGTAATAGATTTCTGTATTGTAGTTTTAGGATATGTTGAAAATGAAGCAGTCAGGCCGGATCCTGGCGGCCACATTTAAAGACAAACTAGTGACTATTATTCTGCTGCACATTTCAACTGGAATTAATCCATAAAGAAACTTCATAAAACAGAGAGACAAAAAATAACGTTTTGCTCTTTTTAAACCTCTTTGTAAAACACACGTTGAACTAAAGATTTAGGAATGTTCAATAAGTTTAAAATAGAGAACAAAAACTGCTGAACTAAAAAAATTAATGCCTCAAAACCTATTAGTGTAATATATTCTGTTAAAATGTACTAATTCATCTTTGTATGTCTGTTCTCTATTTTTTCTATTTGATGTTTTTAATATTTCAACAATTTAATTAATTTGAGGGGTTTTTTTTTCAGTTTTTAATTGAAACTGTACATTTAGATTATTTAAATTACATTTTAAAATCCATCTCTTGCATTTGATGCCTCTATTTTTTTGTTTAACTGATTTTATGCATTTCTATTTGTTTAATTATAGGGATTTACTTCTTTTAAGTCTTATAATGTTTTATTCTTTTATGTCTGGTGACTTCTGTTATGTCTGATTTATTGCACAGAACTTTGGTCGGGTGGTTGTTTCAAGAACTTCATAAAGTTGGTTTTCTGAATTTTACATTCATTTATTTATATTTTCTTCCTTTTATTTTCCTTTAGTTTATTTGTTTCTCCTCTTTACTTTCAAAGATGCTGTTTTAGGGTCTATTTAACTGAGAATAAATGGGTAGAAATAAAAAAGAGGAATATTTAATAAGTTTTAAAGCCACGACTGTGGATTACCTTTGAAAATAACCTTGAACTGACGCATCGTTTGCCTTTAATTGGCATCAGGATTTGAAAAAAGTAAATGGAGCTCAGTTTTTGCTCAAGTAAAGTCTAAAACTTCCATTTACATAGATTAAAAAGCTTAAATTCAGAGTTCATGATAAATCAAGCACATGTATGCAGCTAAAACTCCATTCTTTTGGCAGCAGATCTGAGAACTGATCTGATTAAAACCTTCTTCTATCGATCGCTCTGGTAAACAAAGACAATGTGGTGTTTATCCCCAACAAGCGGTCAGAGCACACACACATCTGTTGCAGCTGTTTTGGCTACAGAGATCTCGGCTCTGAGAGACTTCGGGCTCCGTCGCTGCAGGATTTGTGAGGACGTACCCATGTCTGCAGGTCGGTGAGAACAAACTTCAGCCATGATGGTTTTCAAGTTGGCCAAGATGTGTTCGTTGGGCATGTTGAGCTGCATGGAGCAGAAAACAGAGTGAGATCAGTTCCTGTTGTCGTCACTTCAAACACGTAACGTTTTCAACGCAACAGAAATTAAACTCCGACTTTAAAGAAACATGTTTTTAACCAGTGAACCCTCTAAGTTCAATAATCAAAAATGATTTATGTTTTCTGTGTTTTGGAGTTATTAAGGAGTTATACTAAAGGTTGACACTGCAAAAAATAAAAAAAGAAGTTTATCCTCAACAATATCTGAGTTATTTAAAAGAATTTACTCCAGAAGGTTTCCAGATATGCAATTCTGAAACGCAGGTCCACACTCAATAGCTGCTTTGCCATTGATCAAGTCAACTTTATTTATAAAGCACATTTAAAACAGAAACTGTTATCAAAGTGCTTAACAACAACATCAATGGGAGTAAAATTAAGGAAAAAATACCATACACTAATGATAATACTGAAGAATTAATAAAAAGCATTTAAAACATAGGATCACAGAAGAAAAAAAAAAAAAATCAGCACAACTCAAGACGGTTGTTCTCAGGTGGAGGTGAACACCCACTGTGACTCGTTTCCCCGCTCTGTGGGCGAGATCGTCAATGCAAAGTGGGCGGACATCTGTCCACTAACAAAAAGAGAAAGGTCTGAACCTGATGGTGCACGGCACTACTTTTGGAGCTTCCATTACTGAACTCAAGACAAAACTAACTACACCGCCCCCCTGCCGCCTTCTGCAACGATCGGAGAGGAAGTGGAGGTCCTGGTGTAGTTTGCAGTTTTTCTGGGCAGGTCGTCGAGTGACGTAGCTCCGCGGTGGACCAACTGCCGCCTGCTTGCGATAAAATCGTCACCTCGGAGCAGTTCGTTTGGAACCACCAACAAGGTGGCCCATAAACTGGGCTGAGTGGGGCGCGGGTACCACCAGTGTACCCTTAACTGGTGCGGTGTGGTGCAGAACCGATGAGTTTTGAGACTGTAGGTTGGAGTCAAATGTAAACAAAGCACTCAGCAGAATCTGCTGAAAGTCACGAGGAAGCTCGAGTCACGTGGCTGATGCATGCAGATGTTGTTTCTTATTTTATGACTATTAATAAGATTGTTGATAACAGTCTTTGTGACTTTGCATGTTTTTAAATCTTGGACCCCCCAAAGGCTTATTAATATGAGAATCCAAACGACTAAATACTTGTAAAGTAAAAGCTCAAATGCAGATGAATCCAACAAACATTTTAAACATTTTCCTAGCAAACTTAATTTAATATTCTCTCTTTATTTATAGGATATTCTTTTTAATTTGTGCGCTCAACACGTATCTTTATGTGCCTGAAACATGCAAACATGTCAGCGAGTTATAAAAACTTGTTTTCACAGCAGAGCTTGTCGTACCATAGCGACCTGCGTCTGGACGACGCATTCGTTCTCCACCATGAAGCCGTGACCCGTTTTAAACAAATTCAGCATCTTGGGAATATCGACACCGACCATGCCTGAGTGCAAACACAAACAACCAAACTCATTAAACATTTACAATTCAGGCATTCAACTGTTGTGATTATTTCAAAAGGGTTACTGTAAAAATAATGACAGCTTTATAAAACATAACACAGATGACAAACATCCTTAACAAAATATGGACTTTTTTTTTTAAATCACAGACTAATTTTACAAGCTTTTGTTTTGTAAATAAATCGCCAAACTCCCTCTTAAGTTAAATCTACGAGGTTCCGCTGGGCGAGAAACTAAATGTGATCCGTTTGACCTCTTTTGCTCTTCGGGAACTTCTTCCTCAGTTTGTTTTTCAGTGGCATAATCTTCTGCAGCATGTCAGGAACCGATATGTAAAAGTCAGCTGAAATCAGATCATCCAAGATCTGAAAAGAACAAGATCGTTCTGATTAAACTGAACAGAAACGCTCCTGCAGGTAATCCAAAGTACAACTTCAGAACAAAAGTGTGTTCATGTGAAGAAAACTAGATGAAGACGTGTCGTTTCTTTAACATCAGCCTGATTCTACGATCACTGCCCAACGGTAAAAAGCTCCCACACACTGAACTGTTCAGCTAAAAGAACTCATTAAATAGTAATCCTTCACTAACAGACACAGATATTAATAAACTCATCACTCACAGGCTGAACGAGCTCTGCTCCTCCAGCAAATGTTGCTCCGTTCTCCTTAGCAGCTTGGACCTGATTTGGGTCCTGCAGAGGAAATCGGACATCGTTAAATCTGATTTTAGGGTCTCAAAATTGACCACATCTCACCAGAATCTCTCCCATAGGTCGTTAATGTGAACATCCGAGCTATAACCTATAAACTGTGGCACTTGGCTAAATTATAAATAGTTTCCTCGTTATAATTAATTTAAAAAAAACAGCCACAGAAAACAATTCATCATCAGCGAACACACAGCTGCCTACGATGGTGCTGATGAGGGGGAAAGAAAAAAGGGGTTACCTCGGCGAAAACTACAACTTTGTTCATCTCCGTCTTGAAGGGGTGCGGCAGGAGCACGGTGCTCATGAAGGGGTCGACTTTTTTCTGCACGGGGACAAAAATAGGTTTGTTTGTTGTGGTTATGAACAGCCGGCGAGCTGCAGGAAGATAAAAGATGCAAATGATGTCATTCAAGGAGCAAGCGTGGGTAATTAGGTGTTATCTGGCAGCACTTGGAGCGTTGATGATTTATTATGAACATCATTTCTGTGGAAACAGATGTGGGGGGAGACGGAGCAGCTCTCCGCGAACCGACTGCAGTCCTGTGATGTGGAAACCAACCGGTGAGGGTTTTATTCCTCGGAGCTAATCCGTTTTCAGCTGACTAACCAAAACTGCTGCAGCAGCAAAGATTGATGCGCTATAAAGACGTTTCTGATTAGTGGAAGTGAGACGTGACCGTAAACTCCCGAACAGGAAATAAACCCAAACAAGTCCGACAGCGAAAATATGAAAGTAAGACGTTTGTGAGAACATCAGCGTTCCTCAGGTCGTCCTCTTCCGTTCTAATGAAGCAGCTGGATGACACGAAGAAAAAGAAGTGTCGCCCAATGCGTCTCGTGCCTGAGCTTTAAACTGAAATCGTTGTGTGCTGATGTTTTTCTGTTACCTTTTTCTCCAGTTTCATGTTGAGCCTCAGCTCAACATAAAGAGCCTGATCGAGGGGCGTGAAGTCCAACACCTGGAAACTCCTCAGCATGTCGATGGCACCGACTGCGCTATGGATCGTCGGGGGATAAAGCTTCCTAATGTAGACGTCATCTATGGGTACTTTCGCTACAAAAGACTTGCTTCTGTCTTTGTCAAGGATGGCCTTCTCTTTCATCACCTCCTTACTTGAAACCTTTTTTTTGTCTTTTTTTGCCCTGGCAAAAAAAAAACATACAGATTTTTACAAAAGGGCCGTAGTTCTAGTTGGGTTTTTTTTAAGTAGAATGAAGAATGAAAATGAGAAGTGTCTGAAAAACATCTAAATATAAAGAGATTTAACATAGTTATTTATTTTATATATAAATGATCTGGTTAAGGTGTCTGGAATCCTCAAATCTGTTCTTTTTGCTGATGATACAACATTTTTTTGTTCTGGTAATAATATTGAACAGTTATTGGAATCAATGATGAATGAGTTTGTTAAAATTCAGAATTGGTTTAAACTCAACAAATTATCATTAAACTTGGAAAAAACAAATTATATGATATTTAGTAACAGAAATAAAACTATTGATGTTCCATTTTTAATTGAGGATTCTGAGATTAGTAGAGTTAATGAAGCTAAGTTCTTGGGTGTCATCATTGATGAAAATTTGTCATGGAGGCAACATATAAACTCTGTTAAAATGAAAATATCCAAATCTATTATGATATTTTATAGAGTCAGGTATCTGTTGAATGACAGAGCGCTGTATTTACTGTATAATACAATTATTGTGCCACATTTAATTTATTGTGTTGAAGTTTGGGGAAAGGCGTGTAAATCAATTACAATGCCTATTTTTATTTTGCAGAAAAGAGTCGTAAGAATCATAACAAGAAAGCATTATTATCATCCAACAAGTATATTATTTTATCAAATGAAATTGCTGAAGTTCCATGATTTGGTAGACTATAATATTTTATCACTTATGTATAGAGCTCATAAAAATATACTACCTTTTAATATCCAAATGTACTTTGTGAAAAGATCTAGCTGTTACGATCTAAAAGGGAAAGACGTATTTGTTAAACCACAGTTTAGAACAAGTTTGAAGGGAAGATCTACCGTAATTCAGGGAGTTGGTTTATGGAATGACTTAGTAAAAGAGGTTAAGGATGCTATATCAATTTATGTATTTAAGAAACTGATTAAAATCAAATTGTTAAATGAATATCAATGATTGTATTTTGATGAGTATTGTATGAGAATTGTAAAATATTTTGATTTACTTACTTGTATTCGCTGTTTACAGGAAACGTTTGTTTGAATGGCTTATTAGATAAATAAGGAGCAGATTTAATAAGATTTTTTTCTTCATCTGCTACCTTTCATTTTATATTTAATATTTTGTTGTTGTTACATATATGTTGATTATGTTGATTGTTATGTATTTATAAAATGAATAAATAAATAAAAATAAAAAAAATAAAAAAAAAGAAGTTAACTTACTTGACAGCTGCAAAGGTCCTGATGGGTAGATGGTGCGGTGCAGACTGAGAGACAGCAGCGTAAGCCGGACCGCTGGACCTCAGCAGCTGCTGCTGACATCCTGTTAGAACTGCAGAAAAACAAGACTTTATCACAGACTTACAGGGACACTCGTATCACACAAGGATTACTTTTGATAAGATTACAACTTTAGAATTTATTTTTGAGATTATTCTCTTTTAGCAGCAATTTCTACTCTATTCTAACCTCTCTATTATACCGATGAAAAGACTCACACGGCTTTAGAGTAGACTAAACTTTAATTAATCCACCAAACAGTTAATTCGCCTTATAATCTAGCTGTTTAGTTACTCTTTTTTTTGCCATCTTATTTGTTAAAAAAAATAAAAATCTGTATGACTTTTTATAACTGCCCATTGTTGTCATCATTCTTTGTTAAATCAGGTGTCTCTTGTAAATGAGTCCTCGAGGCTCAATGGGATCTACTTGTCTAAATAAAGGTTGAATGAAACAGAACTTTTTCTAACGCTTTCAGAAATGTTTGTGGTTCCTTGTTTCATGCTGTAGAACATGAAACATGTATCTGAATATGTTCAAACCTGAAGCTTATGAAGGTACGATCTAAATGTGCTTTTTGAACCATTTGTTTAAATTTGGTGCAGCATCAGGAGGATGGCCTCATTATAGAAGTCACACAAAACCGGCTAATATCTCTTAGAAGCAACGTAACCGTCTAACAGGAACTTTTATTGATGCAAAAAATGAGAATTCCAAAGAAAACAGTCTCATTAAACTCTAATTTAATTAGAAAAATAATCTGAAAACCTGATCGAGTTACAAACATGAACAAGTCAGAGGTTTGTGGACTGAACTGAGAGAACCACTTATAGTTAGCATTTGTGTAAAAAACATAACTCTGCATTCTGGAAGGGTTGCAAAGATCCAAGCCCAATCTACCACAGAACCTCCTCCAAGCATTATAGGTGGGCTTCTTTGACTGATACAGAAATTACTCCTGAACAAGCACAAACAGTGTTACCGAAGATTACTTTAAGAACTACAATCTCTTCCTGATCCATCGTCCACTTCTCGTGGTTTTAGTCTATGTGATGTTCAGGAGTGAAGAGTGAAAAATGTTTGGATGAAGCTGAACTTTCAGGAGCTCCACGGAGACCACGATCTAAATAAACCGTTTGGATTAATCCAGGGTTACTCCATGGTGCTCTCTGAGTTTAGCCATTCTTGAGTTTAGTTTGTACAAAATACTTTATTTTGTCATGAGGATGTTTAAACCTTTTTTTTATCAGTTTCAAGCTCATCGTTCATCATGGCTGAGAAAGTTTTTTGCCATTTCACTTGTTTCTGACATTTTGGTAAATGTAAACTTAAAATGGGTAGTTTCTTTTTTTTGTGCTGAAACGTTTCGCCTTCGATCCAGAAGGCTTCATCAGTCAAGGAAACACACAACAAAACTCATTCTTCCCCCAACAGCTTACTCCAAAGTGGAACAAACCAGTTCTGCTTGTGATAAGATGGTCTCTTTGGTACGCCCCTCCTCCATTGCCGGCCCTCTTCCTTGTTGACAGTCTTGTCAAACTGGTTGAAAACAACAAAGTCTATGCTCAATAATCAGTTTTGTTGTGTGTTTCCTTGACTGATGAAGCCTTCTGGACCGAAGGCGAAACATTTCAGCACAAAAAAAATAAACTGTCCAGATGACCTGACTGAAAAATGTTGGATTGTATATCTGGATTATTGAGCATGGACTTTGCTGTTTTCAACCAGAAGGCTTCATCAGTCAAGGAAACACACAACAAAACTGATTCTTCCCCCAACAGCTTACTCCAAAGTGGAACAAACCAGTTCTGCTTGTGATAAGATGGTCTCTTTGGTACGCCCCCTCCTCTATTGCCGGCCCTCTTCTTTGTTGACAATCTTGTCAAACTGGTTGAAAACAACAAAGTCCATGCTCAATAATCCAGGTATACAATCCAACATTTTTCAGTCAGGTCATCTGGACAGTTTATTTTTTTTGTGCTGAAATGTTTCGCCTTCGGTCCAGAAGGCTTCATCAGTCAAGGAAACACACAACAAAACTGATTATTGAGCATGGACTTTGTTGTTTTCAACCAGTTTGACAAGACTGTCAACAAGGAAGAGGGCCGGCAATGGAGGAGGGGGCGTACCAAAGAGACCATCTTATCACAAGCAGAACTGGTTTGTTTCACTTTGGAGTAAGCTGTTGGGGGAAGAATCAGTTTTGTTGTGCGTTTCCTTGACTGATGAAGCCTTCTGGATCGAAGGCGAAACATTTCAGCACAAAAAAATAAACTGTCCAGATGATCTGACTGAAAAATGTTGGATTTTATACCTGGATTATTGAGCATGGACTTTGTTGTTAAAATGGGTAAATAATAATAATAATAATAAAATATTTATGTAAAAGATAATGTAGTCTAGATTTGACCAATCTGGACTAGATTAATCCTTACATATTCAAACTCTTTAAAACGGTCTGTAAAAATTTGAACTGCTAATTAAATGCTGAAGGGGAACATTGTGCTTCTTTTTGAGCATCTCGAGTCCAAATGAATCTTTAAACAAAACGATGGTTATGTCAGAATTGTGTTGTAAAGATTATTTACTATATGTAGCATAATCCAGACTAAAATCCGACATTAAAGTACAAATGAACTTGCTCAGAGGAGAGCGCTTGCTAAAACATGTGAACATCTTAAAACCGGAAGCCCACTTTAATAAACGTTTTGACATCAACTGATACGAAATAGTTTGTTTTCTAAATAAACTTTAAAAAACGGTAAACGAATCGCACATTTCAACTTAAAAACATAAATCGTAAACACCACAATAACTGACCTTTCCACATAACCGACGTGCAGGTTGCCATATCTGCTGCTGATAGTCCGTGTGGAAACAAATGTTTATTCAATGGTTCCGTAAAAGGAATCTGCCGCAAATCTTCCTTTAAAATAAAACTGGCAATTCGTGTTTAATTTATTTAAAATTGACAATAATTTATTTGAATAAAATTAAAATAACTTTAAGGATTTATTCGCTCTAAGCATTATTCGGCGTTCATTTTTAATACTTTATTACATTTGAAATTTGGACTTATAAGGACACATGATGTCAACTAGCTGATTTGTTACTATAGTGAAGGGAATTATTTAAAATATATATATTATTTGTGTTTATAATAGCAATAAATGTTCTAATTTTGGTATTAAAATGAAAAAAAAAAATTGTTTTGGTGTATGTATGTTAAGAAAAAAAAAATCTGCCAGAAACTAAAGGTTATGTTTTTTAAAAAAAAGTTCCACACAATTTCTGCTTCACTTATGCAATAAGACAGCGAGATAATGAGTTTATATCATTTTTTGGTGGTACAGAAAATCTCGTGAACACGTAGACGGGAGACATGCGCGCTCCCCGGCGTGACGGGCACGAGCGGAGGTCGCGTTTGTTGTTCTTCCTTCTGTTTCCGAGACGTTCAGGGTCTAAAGGGGTTCAACAGCCTCGTCTGCATGTCTCTGCCAGGTCCCTCAATAAAACCTCATCCACCGCCCACGAATGAAGGTAAAGCCAGGTTTGAGTTTGTGCTTACGCTGGGGAGGTTTTCAGGAGGTTGTTCGGGGGGTTGCTTCCGTCTCGACCGATTGTCTTGCCCCGCTCTAAAGCTCTGGTGAGCCCCGGGTGGCGTGCGCCCAGCCGCCGCCAGCGGAACAAATCCAGCGCGGTGCTCCGGAGGCGCCGCACGGGTAACGCGGCTGCTGCTGTGCGGACGTTATTTTTATTAGTTAATCGCTGGTTTGCACCGACAGGCGGATTAATGAAGGGTGTGTTTTCCTTGGGGTCAGATGTGACAGCTGTGGGTCGAACCTTGCCCGAACGGGCCTGTCGGTCCACGTTACGCACTTGTCACTTTTGACACCACAGCTATGTTTGGATACCCAGCTGTTGCCACAGTTTTACACACTTAAACACAACATCGATGCTGCACTTGTAAATGTATAAGATGTAACTTTATTGATCCCGCAGGAAACTGTTGCGTTACGTTAAAACTTTTCAACTTTTTAAGCAACATTTTCCATGTTTCCATATATGAGTCTTGAAGGTGTAAAGTCAGAACCAAAAAATAATAAACAAACCACAATTTTTAGGGGGGGTTAAATCAAAAACTTAGGTGTGTTTGTTTACCTACTTACCAATTACATTTGTTTACCTACAATGACTACAACCAGCAGATCAATAGTTGGACTTTGTTTACATTGAGTGCGTACCCACATTTCAGAGTTTCTTATCAGCATATTTAAAAACTACCAGGACAATAACTTTCAAATTGTACCATTTGGTGTAGTTCAGAACAGAAGTTTTTGATGTTTGATTTCATTTTGCAGTGATTATGTTTAAATTGTTGAACACTTCTCATGGAATGATGGGTTTTCTGCACGTCTTCGTGCACTTTTGTGCCACCAGAGCCAGGAGACCACAGCCGCTCTGGCTTCTTGTGACCTAGCAGAGTGTAAACAGGTTATGTAATTATTTTTTTCTAAAGTTGTTCAGCACACGCTTATCGTGGCTAGTTCTCCAGCCTCTAGAGCTCTTCTAACATTTATATTCATGATGCTCACAAACTTGTTGGATACGAGCATTTTCAGAGCCAAGTGTGTGTTTTTAATTTTATTGTGAGGATATTTGTTTTAAAGGCAGGACTGCGATTAGAACCGGTGGGATTTATTGACAGCACATGAAATGTGACTCCATTTATTTGACTTTGTGACTTGAATACGAAAGGAAAGAAAAAACAAGAAGTCACCTTAGGAGTAATCTGAGCTCAGAGCAAGTGATTATTTAGATTATAAATAAGTTTGACTTAAGGTCAAGAAGGCTTGTTTTAAATCCTGCTACAGATAGAAATGTTTTGAATTTAGATAACCTTAGATATTTAACTTTTATTAATTGACTTTTCATGAATGTGAATGTTTTGTACAGCAGCCTGAGACGACTTGTGTTGTGACTTGGTGCTCGATATAAATAATTGAATCGAATTGAACTTATTTTTTAATGTGTGCTCTATTAATCTGTTTATGTTTTGATCAAATTTATGAACAGTGGGGGGTTTATTTGGGTTAAGTATGGCTAAAACTAATTAGAAATGTCTTTTACCAAAAAAACAAACTAAGACTGCTGTCTTAAATAGTCTTTCAAAAGCTAAAATGTGACTTGATTAATTTCCCTGACTCTTAATATAATTAAATTTATAACGACAGCAGTAATATTTCCATGTACAGTAACTCTTAAATAATTCCAATAAAACTAGTCGCAGCAATTTGTTAACAAAAAACTACTAATTTTAAAGCTTGTCAGGTCAAAACAAAGAGGTCTTTTACTTTAAATAAGAGATTTTTTATGTTGCTTGATAATAAACTGAATATTTTTAAAGACTTCTTTTATTTAAAACACAGATTAATGTTCATTTTACTTCAGGTATGTTGAATACGGGGTTTGTTTTAGGGTTGATAAAGTTTGTTTTAGTCAACTGCACAAAATACTGAAGGTCATTCTTTCAGAAATGTTCTTTTTTTTATCGCTTACATGATATGATTGTTTAGATTTTGTTCAACAAATTAGGTTTACTCATCTCTGTTAAATTGGCTGTAAAGTATTCATGTTTTCCATTAATTCAGTTTCTAAAGCTTTGAACCACATCACAGAACATTTATTTATTTTACACATCCTTAAAAGAACTTGGAGCACGCTTTGTACAAATGTGCTGCAGACACTTGGATTGTTGTTTTTATTTAGTGTTGTGTTCAGGGTGTAAAGCTTTTTGCTAAATGTTTCAGGTTGGTTGTAAGTTTCACGGTTGTTTTTATTTTTGTATTTTTTACGTGAATGAACTTATTACAAAAATCAAACAGCTGATTGTTTTAAAAAAAGTTTGAATGTCTTAAATCAAAGTTTCCTTTAGTCATATTTTAAATTTGTACTTCACATGTTAAAAACATTAATTTTACATTCTTATGCTGAACTAAGGATTATTGTATTAAATTTTTTTTCTTCTTCATCTCATCAATAACTAATTTGTTAAAAATGTGTTTGTTTTTTCCCATGATTTTTATTAGATTTACATTTTTTTAGTGTTTGAGAGTAAAAAGTGTGCCATCAAACAATAATTTTTGCTTTGTTTTTCAGATTAACAGGTATGCCAAAAGAAAAATATGACCCTCCAGATCCCCGCAGATGTTACACTATCATGCCAGCCGAGGAAGCAGCCAGCGGGAAGAAGTCTCACTGGGCCGAGCTCGAGATCTCTGGTGAGTCCAAACCACCCCGTTGGATCTGGTTCCATTTAGAGACGAACAAAAGTCCCTTCCTGACACGTTCAGCAACAGAGACACATGAGAGACGTCACTCCAGGTTTAAAACTCAAAAAGAAAGATGAACAAAATTACCAATAAGACATAAATATTAAAGTAGAAAGTTCTCCATCTCCATCTTGGGACTTAAAGGAGCCGTTTACTGAAAATACCGATGGGTCCACATACGCCTTCATCTTAAACTGGACGACACAAACTCCTGCCAAAGAACTCCGGTTTCTCTGAGAAGAGCAGGTTTTTGCCTTGTTTGTTTAAAGTGTCACAGAAATTCAAAAGTTAACGACAATACCAGCCAACTAAAAGGAACGCTGCAGAACAACAGTCTGAAAATGTGTTTCGTCGTCCGTTTCCTTTGTTTGTTCGTTATCGATGTTTCGTCAATCGTTTGTTTGGCTTTTTGCATCGTGTTGGTCAAAGTATGCACAAAAGCTGAGTGGTACTGGACCCGAGAAGAAATATTACTTACTCAAGCGATTGATCGTTGACTTGTTTATTCAACTGGGAGAAGTCTGAATGGTCCTCTGGGTTAGAGTGGGTCTTTACCTCGGGCGGAGGTGTTCAAGTATCTGGAGCCTTGTTCACAGGCGACGTCAGGCGGGAGATGAATTGATCATTTGGTCTTCAGTTAGCAATTAACTCATCAGTCCAAACAGTTGTCATACAAAGAGCTGTCTTCAACACATTAAATATCAATTGTCCATAACATTTCCACAGAACCCCATTTCTAAAGATCTGAACTATTGTTTTAAAATATTGAGGCTCCTGTGTTGGGGGAGAGTCGTTGCCTCAGGTGGAGGAGTTCCAGTATCTTAGGCGTCTTGGTTTGAGTGACGGTAGGATGGAGCAGAAGATGGATCGACAGGTTTGGGCCTCGTCCTCAGTAATGAGGGCGTTGCTTTGGTCGATCGTGGTGAAGAAAAAGTTGCATCAAATCAAAATGCAAAGTTCTTTGTTTACTGGACCATCTACGTTCTGTCACCAGTAGTCATGACGTATGGATTTTGACCTAAAGACCAAGATCCTGGATACAAATTGTCAAAATGAGCTTCCTTCGTAGAGTTGCGGGGCTCAGCCTTAGAGATGGGGTCAAGATCTTTTGGCGCTTTGCTACTCATCAGTACCGTACCAATTAAGGGCCTGCCCACTGCTGGTACCCACCCCACTCAGCCCAGTTTATGGGTCCATCTTGTTCTTGGGTACAAGCAAACCGCTCCAAAGTGACGATTTTGACGTAAGCAGGCATCGGCCATTGACTGGTCTGTGGAGCTACATCACTGGATGACCTGCCCAGTCAAGACCAGAGCTCCATCACTGGA